GGGGAGATTCCATGATTAAATTGTCTATCATAACCCAACATCTCGTCATTGGATCCAGGATTGCTGAAAAGTGACACAACTATTGAAATATGTCTATGCCCCTGTTTGACACTCATTTTATTCCCCTTTTTTTCTCTTTCTTCATTTCAACCACACATTCTATCAATAAAATAATACTACATATAAACCAAAAAATTCTCATTACATTTTAACCACACATTTTTCCATCAATCACTATTACAAAATTTATTTTTTCTCCAAAATGAGTGTCAAACAGGAGCTATATTTGAAGAGACAGACTTGTTGAAAAGTAGAAGTTCAAATGACATGATTTTCATACGTAAAGATACAATATTTCAGTCAAATATATTCTCGAATATTCCATATATTATAATTAGGTTTATTGAATATTCCACCATATGCTTACTCTGATTTTTAAACAATTTCAATGTCTTAAGTCATTCATATTTGGCATTAGTTTCTCGTTCATCGGGAATTAGTTCAAGAAACTAAATATATCACAACAATTTACTCATGGACTAGAATAGTCTAATGAGTCCGCTTAAATAATCGGTCAAAGTTTGTTGAACCTGCTATTACCAACCAAAATTTCAATACATTCGACCATGCCTAGAGACACGGACGAAGCACGCATGCCCCCATGTGCTTCTAACATGCTCTAGTAGTGAAACAATCCGAATTCATCTTATTCACAAGATATTAAGTGGTTTCCAAAACTTCTATTTCCTTGGTAGAAAGACAGAAGTTTGAGAAGTTAAAGAAATTTATAGATAGTTTTAGCGTGTCATTTAAGGTGAAATTACAATTTAGAATAGAAAACTCACAACACCGAGTTTTCTAGCTTATTTTCATCTCATAATCCTAGATCGATGGAATAACAAAATAAACTTATAAAGAGATGTTGCTAAAAGTCTATAATTGAAAATAGAAAAAAATTGTGGGACCAATAAGATATATAATAAAAAATGAAGTTTGATCAATTTTTTAGCAAATAAAAGCTTAATCATACAAGCATGTAGTATAAAATTGTAGGTACTAAGCCCCCAGGGCACATCTCCAAGTGGTAAAAAGGGAAGGTGGAAAAACTCCAACTTTACTTGAAACTGCTGCGTCAAGGGTTCGAATCCTAAAATATGAATTTGACCCTTGGGTAAGTGCAAGTGTACAAGCAGCCTTCCACCCTATACCCTTGAAGGCATAACCTGCAATTTACCTACTTCACCAAGACTCAGGGCAGAGCAGGTGGGGGCCGCTAAGGATGCAGTTCATCCTTTTTTTTTTAAATTGTAGGTACTAGACTAGAGACTCTTGGTTTCTTTATATAAACGCTTCCATCAAGTAATGTTGGTAGTTCTACTCCGATGACTTTCGCCCAATTAAAAATAAAAAATAAAAAAATGAGAAGCTATATTATGTAGCTAATTATCTGTCATTTCAATTTAAAAATTATGTTTAAACATTTGGGGTTCCTTTAAAAAAGGCCTGGTCAAAGGCCTCAAATTCTTTATTGACTTTTCCTCAAATGAATATTTTCAAAGTGGTCTAATAGTGTTCAAAAGATAAAAATGCCCTTAAATGAATAAAACAATTAAAAAATATGGTTTTGTTAAAAGACAATCCTACCCTTTTAGTTAACAAATAAAAATCAAACACTCCCTACATAAAATTACAAAATTAGCTCAAATATAGATAAAAACTCTCTCATCTTCTTTACTCTTAAAATCTCAAAAATATCGAAAACTAAAGAAAAAAATTGTTTTCTATCAATTACT